CAGCAGGAAGGCCTCCATCACCGACGAGGCGCCGCCACCAGGAGGCGGGAAGCCCTCCTCCGGGCGCGTCATTCGAATCGTCAACAACCTCGACCACACTGTTCAGGTAAGATCACAATTCAGCTTTTAGGGTAGTGAACGTTGTGTAAAAAAATGTGGCGCGTTCGACCGGCGCAAGCTCGACTTGTATCATTGTATATTAAAAAATAACAAAATTTTAAAAAATTAAAAAAAAAACCAAAAAAAAAAAAAAAAAATAAAAAAAATATTCAAATTCACTTAATTCAATAATCATTAATTAATAATTATTTTAATACTTATAATTCTCCAAAATTTCGGACAATTTTTTATTGTTGATTGTATTAAAGAGAGTGGGCCGTCGAGTGAGTCTTAAATGGTATTTTGTCGCGTCGTGATTGAGTATATTTTCTCCAATGTCTGTTGTACTTTGATTTTTGAAAAATTCTCAATGTAAATTCAAATGGAAGACTAATCAAGATGATAAAACAATAAATACAATTCTCATAATTATATTTATTCATATATCATTGCTTTTGTATAATTATAAACTATACGTTGGCAGAAGATTAATCGAAATACTTGTTTACATATTGGTAATTAACGCCATTACTTTCTTCCATTTTCTTGAAAATTTAGAGTAAAATATAAAATGTCCAATACTTTCTAATAAGTTATTAAAAATACCTCATTTCAGATAATTATGATATCAATAATTAATTTAATACACAGGGGATATTATTGTTGTCATTGTTACTATAGTTATTATTATCATTATCATTATCATTATCATTATCATTATCATTATCATTATCATTATCATTATCATTATCATTATCATTATCATTATCATTATCATTATCATTATCATTATCATTATCATTATCATTATCTATTAATTATCATTATTATTATTATTAATACGAAATAATCACTTACAATGAAGCTTTTAATTGATAAGATATTTATAAAAATACTTTAAAATATATAATATTTCGACAAATTTAGTTAGCTTTGTCATAACATCAAAACTTTTGATAAAATCACACTCTTTGGTAGAGTTTAATCTGTTCTCTTTGTTAGTAGTAAAGGTAATAGTAGTTGTACGTTGCTAAGATTCCTGCTTATATATTTTATCCTAAGAATTTTTTATGTATAAATATATTGCCATTTTTTAAGTACGTTTCAATTTAAATTTATCGTGTAAATGTGTAAATTGTATATTTATATACACATAATTGTCATGAAGAATTCAATATAAAAGCTGAAGATGTAAGGCTTATCAAAGCAATAGTATCCTCGGCTCTCTCAATGCTCATTCCTGATGATAGAAATTTTCCAACACTGATAAAGATTACCGTGTATCAAGAGTGATTATTATATTTTATTAAAATAGTGCCGAGTGCTGCTGAATTTACGGACATCGCAACCTTTTGAAGAGGTCCTCGAAGACTTGGGCCAAGTGCTTAAGATGAACGGAGCCAAAAGAATGTTCACAGTTTCCGGGCAAGAGGTACATCACAAAATAAATAATACTTTTCAACAAAGGACTTGTTAATTTCATTGGTATAGGCAATTCCAGCATAAATGCTTATTAACGCAATTCCTCGAAATTCACACTGTCGAATCTCTAACCAATGGAATTTAATTTCTCCTTCTTGTATGAATCTATATCACCGAGAGACTTTTATAATTCTCTTAAAAACAAAACAATTTATTTTTTTTTTTTTTTTTTTTTTTTTTTTTTTTTTTTTTTAGCTACGCAATAAAGAACTCAGGGCTATTATTTTGCATACTGCGGTGCACGATACACTGTATTATTGACTCTGCGACTTGCGAGCAATACTACCTCTCTATCGCAAATCACTTTCTTTCTTTTTCTCGCCCTCAATCTCGACAAACTTACTACATTCAAACATACGCTTCTTGACAAAATTTATGTCTCCTACGGTGTTTAAATGCACACACATTATAATAACAAATAAATGAAAATATTAAAGCATTGCCGTGTTTCCTTATTTATTTTCTTTTATTTTTCTTTTCGCGTTAATTCGATCTAAATACAGTCATAGTGGTGAATAAATGAAAGGAATCTCATACTTTAGCTTTATATCGGTACGCGACTGCTACCACAAACTCTTATAAAAACTCTTATACGCTGTTTATTAAATTATTAAATACATTAACATCTTATTCAGTCAAATAATTCTTATTTTATCACTTCGCCAGTCTCTAAATTTATAAGGTCTATTTATAAATTTATAAGGTGCTTGAATTGACATAGCTTCAATTCATGAGATTATTATATTATTTAACGATCTTTATAATAGTTAGTATAATAGTTAATGCTTGAAAAAGTGTCGCAGCTAATAGATAATAATTACTTTATCAATATTATATTAACCGTTCACATTATTAAGTCACACAACTACTTAAAATAAATTCTTTTACTTTACAATATACACTACAACTCGGGCTTTACTATATCTTGAATTTTACAGTGCGCTATTTTCATTTTTACAATATGGCAAATAAATTTTCTGTGTCACTAAAATACTATTTATACCGCTAACATAATAATACATCGTTGATAATATTCTCGAGAACAATATGCTTGATTTTTCAGCTTCTAATTATTATTTATACAATTATTGCAAACGCATTTTTATAAATAGAAAATTACATATCTTTTAAAGAATAAAAAATTGTATTTAACGTAAGTAGGACTATAAAGATGTATAAGGATGTCTCTTGTTATCAAATACTCGTGCTTATCGGATAATCAATAATTAGATCATAAAACTTATATTACACTTGAATATTTACAAAATTATTTACTTTCCAATGTAATTCAACTTTTATTACAGACAAAATATATTTATATTTTAAAGTTTCTTTTAATCGTAATAAATTTCACAAGAATAGTTTTCTTCGTATGTATATATATATATATATATATATATATACGACTCATCTACAATTGTCGCTTGAGATCTTATCAATTTTTTTTTTATTTTTTATATTTTTTTACCCTAAAAAAAAAAAATAACCTTGTAAATTTTTTACCCTTTTTTTCAATTTCCTTTCCCATAAGATTCGAACTAACCACCCTCTTAAAAGACACGAGTAGTTGTCATAATTATCATTTCAAGATTGTATAGTATTTATCATTGTATGACTTTTATATATGATTATGAATACAAAAAATAATAAATAAGCGTCAAGAATTTTGTTGGTAAGTAGTCACAATTGCATAAATTGCTGGTGTAAATGAATGAGAACTTAAAATTATTTGTCAAGTCACTTAATATTCGAATAAAAATATGAATAATCAAATGTATAAACGTAAACTCGAACAACAATATTATACTATTAAAAATTATATTACAATGACGTGTTAAATTTCTACGACTAAATTAAATAATTTTCCATTTCTCATGATAATTATGTTAATTTTTATAATCATCATGTTCTTGTTTGTATATAATACAAATGATTTTAAAATAAAAATAAAAAATTTACATATAATTTACATGTAAGTATTGAAATTGGTAAGGAGTTTAATTTTTCTTCAAAAGTTTTTAATTATAGTTAAATGTCAATAAATATACTATGTACATGTTAACAAAAAAAAAAAAAATTTATATTTTTGTTACTATAATTTTATGGATTTTTAATCCTATTGAATGAAAATTGAATAATATACTTTAAAATGCTAAATATACTTTATGTGCTAATAATTTTGTATGCAAAAGAGCATTATAAACATTTTATTTAATATTTAACTTAATAATCAACATTTTAAGATATCATAAATCCAAATTGAATATAAAATGTATTATTAGACAAAATGCTCGATACTTTGCTATTTTTCGCGAATTTTCATTTCTTTAATATTTATAACTTTTCTCTTCATTTTCACAAATCATGCAATTAAAAATATTTCACGTAAACGTCATATATATATATATATATATATATATATATATATATATATATACACATTAGAGATATTTAATAATATCCGAAATTTAAGAGTTTATTATAGAAATGCATTTTTCATGAGACTTAGAAAAATTATATAAAATTAGTGCTTATTAAGAATGAGGAGAAAATATCATTGGTATAATAAATGCATAAATAATAAGTGTAAGAAAGACCCAATAACGATTCAATCCAACATTTTTCTAATAATATTCCTGCAATTGAGAGTAAACTGCCGATTAAACTATCGACAATCATAAAATCAAAGTTTTATTAAAATTACACGATGCCACTGCAGGCCATAAATCCTCGGGGTAAAAATCAGTATAACAACAAAGTCACGTAGAGCAGGTCCGCGTGTACTTCCGGTCGTTCGTAATGTCGCCGTAGCCACGCAGAGAGAAATTAATGAGAAAAACGAAAATAAATTGAAAGATGGGGTCACGAGGTTCGCCACTAGGAGATTAACCCTCTTGGCCTGTAATGAGCGGCTTTTTAACGGGAGCAGCAATTGAAATGTATTTATCGCAGCTTTGAAATTGCAGTTTTATAAAATAATAATCTCGCGACACGCTCGCACGCGCAGCTTATTCCCTCCGAAATTCAGTACGAAAGTCGCGTTATCGCGACTTTGTGATCGTCGTTCAACATTGGGTCGCCAGACGAATCGGCGATGCGGGAAAAATCTAGTGCATCCGTAGCGAGATTCCTTATGTTGTTCTCAATGCGCGGATTAATGCCTCGAATCATAATTTACCATTTTCCATTTTCCATTTTCCGTTTGCCGCTTTAAAAGTGATATCGCAGCGTGATAGGGCGAGCGACATTAATGTAAAGTTCTCGTGCTTTTTCGAAATAATTCACATGGCAATTGTTTCGTGTAATAAAAGTGCGGGTTTGGTTTTCTAACTTATTCAGATTCTCAAGTATGAAGCCGAGAATTTTTTGTTTAGTTGCACAAGAGACGCGTGCAGTTGGAAAATAATTAAAGCATAGTGAACTTAAAAAAAAAAACATATTACAGGACTAAGAAATATTGCTGTTATATTTACTTTTTAAATTACACATGCAATGATTAACAATCGCGAAAAATGCTAAATCACTTTTTAATAATTTTGAAATATAAAATTTATAAAAGCTCTATCAATTAGGTTAGATGAAAGATATTTAATGTATCCGCTGAGGTTTTATCATATCTAAGTGAACAGCTGAGGGTTTAAATTTGAATAATATTTGCCTATTTTAAAATTACTAGTAAGACCCCTAAGGTTAGATGCCCTTGCAAAATTCGTAATAAAGTCAAAGAACAAAATATTTTCAAATCAGAACGCAAACGAAGATAAAAAATGAACACGTTTAAAGTATAATCGACGGAGTTCAGCGTACGCCCACGACTGAGACGATAAAGTTCTTACTTAAAACTCTCTCTCTCTCTCTCTTTCTCAAGACTTTTATTGGTTTATCAGTTATTCATGCAAACATAAGACTAGGAGACACGTTGACGGCATCGTCCTCGTACAATAAGTTTGAATAATGCCTCGCGTCATAAATATTCATGATAGTAAAGCGGAAAACGTGCTAAAAAAACAGTAGGGGCGCGATAGGCGAAGAGGAAAAGAGAGAGAGAGAGAGAGAGAGAGAGAGAAGGGTGGGGCAATGAGGTAGAACACGAGAAGCAAAAAGAAAATAAAAAAGACGAATGAATATTGAAGTAAGACGGATAAAAGTACTGACCTAGCGTGAAGCAATCGGGGCCGACTATTCGAAGGAGACGACGTAACAAGGTCGCAAATTCCTGGTGTAACCCAATCGAACACCAACTGCATCCTTTGCAATATCATGAAAACTTAGTGATAGCGCGTTGCAGTGAAGAAAAGGCAATTGCATAAGGGACGGTGCAAAAAACATTGTCACAGCATATTTTCATGTATCTGGATTATTTTTCATTTCTACCGTTGCGATATAATAGAGTTCGGGAAAAAAACATGGTGAGTGAGTGTGAGAGAGAGAGAGAGAGAAAGAGAGGTAAAGAGCAGATATCCTTCTTATTGAATGCCATAAATAAAACTCCTTATCTAACCTCTTTATCAAACCAATCTGAATTTTCTTCCATAAGAGTGTCAGTCCGTTTTAATTATTTATTTCTATAATGATACATCACGTCAAAAAGACTTTTCTTTCGTTTCTATGATTTATTTCCGTTGAAAATACAGATATATCCTTTATTCTTTAATAACAGTCCTTAAAAAATTGGTTCATCATAATTGACATAAAATTCGTTACTAGTAAAAAATACAATATCTCTATTTATTGCAAATAAATTCTTATATGTTTGAAATATTATTAAAAGAAAATAATAAAAAATAATAATAATAATAATAAAAAAAAACGCTATTGAGCACATTAATTTATCTTGGAAAATTATTAAGAAATACACAATAGTAGTTTCCAATTCACATTTATAACCTATTAAAATTCGCTCAATATGTTTAATAAAAAGTTTGTCCACTTTGCTTATCGATGCATAACAATTAACAACATCTGTTGGTTGCTTAAGCGCATTTCAAATTATTGACATATCCAGTTTTTGTGTTTTTGAGAGGGAAAGAAGATTGATTCTCATTATCTTGACTATTATCTTCAGTAGACAGCATCACTGAATTATCGATTCATTAATTATTAATTTGAAGCAATTATGCACTTATCAAGTATCGTTACATTCGATTTTATAATTTGACGATCTTCGACACTAAGCTTCTTATGATTATAAATTTATAATAAGTTAAATATCGTAAATAATATATTTATTACCTAAATTAATTATGACAAATTGTCATTTAGAAAAATATCAAAAATATCATTAGCTTTGAAAAATCAATTATCTAGTTAACAATACTAACATCAGTCATTTTTCTTTTCGTTAACCAATGTAATAATAATAATAAAAAAAATGTATAGAAATCTAATTAATTATATAAAGAATTATATATATAAAAAAAAGTCAAATACATGACTTTTGTTTTTACTAATTCATAATAGATTTTTTCTACAGCTGCCATATAAATGAGCATAATATCTTTCAAATCACAAATCCTCGCTTCATTTTTTTCAACTCATATATGAAATTACAATCACAATATGAATTTCAAATCCATTAAGTAATGTCTGCGAGAATTTTTGCCATTTCATTTGTCTATCTTCTTTTCTTTCTTTTTTTTTATCTATTTTGTGCTTTGTATAGATATATCGATCATCGTAATGATTTATGATAATGTATTTATGACAAATTTATATCCATTATTTTGTCAATTTAATTTAAATGTCAAAATCTATCTACATAAATGTTCATCAATGCCTGATGTTTATTACGAGAGTGAAAAAGAAATTTTGTAACATGTCTTTGAATTTTTTAAAATCTGACGACGATAATTTAATCACGTGGTAACAATTCGTACGAGGAAATTTTTAATTAAATTTCACGCTATGTAGAGGCACTCCAAGTAAAAATTACATTAATCGACTTCAAATGTCGTTCGTTATTTTTGATATTTAAAACTGTGTGTTTGCCTGCGAGAATTGACATCTCAAGCAACGAAACATTTAACTTAAGTGCATATTATATATATATATATATATTTCGTGTCATATGGTTAGCCGGCGAAATTTGTAATAATTAAGCATAATAACGAACATAATAATTATGCAAATTTATTCTAATACGGGAAAAGTCGTTTGAAATTCGCTTAAAATTTCACCTGATGGAATAATAAAATTATATTCCCATTGATTGAACATTAAGTGTCGATACTTCATTTGAATAAGGTAATAAGCTCGTCTTACGACTTATTCAATGTTAAAAAATTACTATCAATCCAGAAACTCAATCCCGTAATGGCGTTTAAAAGTTCGTTAAATTAATAAGACTTAATTAATGAATAAGTCTTGCCGCGGTCCCTTGCTATCGCAATTAATGCACAAAAACATGCTCGGAACGAAGATGTCAGTGCAATAAAATTGTTGTAAACGAGCGAGAAAGATATGAGCTATCGGCTGTGATTCGGTCCCCAGGTGCGGAGCTTCTCGCAGTTGCGCAACGAATTCGCGGACGTAGACACGTTTTACCTGGGTACGGGCGCCGGGAGCAGCGGCATCGCCACGGCCATCGGCTCACCAGCGAGGAGGTCGCGCTCCCGAGGGCCACCTGCCGTCGTCGAGGACATAGGCAGGCAACGAAGGGCTCGAAGCAAGAGCAGACCTCGGGCCCTTTACGCGCCCGATTCCGAGGTCGTGAGGGTAAACGGTGAGTTGACCGTTCAGTTCAGCCCAGTGCTTTTTCACTTTTTTTTCTTTTCTTTTTTCTTCTTCTTCTCCCCCCCCCCCACCCCCCCACTTAAGCGCTCGATGCCAATGGTCCGGTTTGGTAACTGCATATCCACGACTTGTCACTTCAATATCATCGCTAATTAATTGTTCAGACGTAGCCAATGCCCGTCCACCTAATAATTCCTCATTCGACTATCTTCTAATTTATAATTAATTGTCTCGCATTGTTAAAGTTTGTATTCTCCGCGCGAGATTCTCGGCTAATCGATAATTATGCTTCATTGCCCATGGAAGTTGAAGTAAGCGTTTGAGCGTCGCTTTGAAGTTAATGTCCGAGTCTAAAGATTCTGAGATGGCTGGCTTTTATGGATCCTTAGACTACAGCGTGGTCGAGGTTCTGCGGGAGGAGCCGGCCCGGGTGACGATTCGCGGCCTAAGGCGCTCGTTCTACCCACCGTCGCACCTACCACCCGTCGACAACTCACCCCCTGACAAGAAGCTCTCCCTCGAGTGGGTCTACGGTTACCGTGGAACCGACACCCGACGGAACCTTTGGGTACTGCCGAGTGGCGAGCTTCTCTACTACGTCGCCGCGGTCGCCGTGCTCTATGACCGCGAGGAAAACGCCCAGCGGCACTACATCGGCCACACGGAGGACATCACCTGCATGGAGGTACGGTGAGCCGATCTATTGACGGGGGGAGGGGGCGGGGGGGATTTGGGAATCGGGGGTGATGAGTCGGGATTGGAGTTGTGTTTTGATGGTGGTGGTGGGGGTGGTGGTGGTGGGGGTGGCGGTGGTGGTGGAGGTGGGGGGGGTGG